AAAATATAAAATATAATAATAAATATAACTAGATAATAAAATATAATAATAATAGAAATATTATTACAATATATTTATATCTGATATCTCTTCTTTCTTTCTTTTTTTGTTATACTTTTATACTAAAAAGTTTTCACTATACTTTTAGTTCCTCTCCTCTTCTTTTTGTCTATTGCTTCTTATATACTTTATCTATTTGTATCTCATACTTATTATTAAATCTGTTGATTTTATTATTTGCTTGTTAATGCTCTTGTTCATCTATATTCTGTTCTGCTTTTTTGAAGTACATATAGCAAATTCTGCCTAAGTATTTCAAATCTTTGTATACCTTATTACTGCTTCTTGTCTTTTTTAGTAGTATTCTATTTATTAATACTTTTTAACTTAGTAAATTCACAAATATACTTTCTAAGATACTACTTGAAATTGTGTTCTACAATTAATCAATACCTTTGCTTGCAAAGTTTTCTTCTGCTAGAGCTATATTAGTCTTTGTTTCTAGCTTTTTCTTTAGTTTCTCATTCAACTTTTCTTTATATCTTTCCTAATCCTCTTCTTGTACTTTGTCTAGTTTGAGAATTTTTTTCTTTTCTTTTAGCTACTTTTTTCTTACTTAAAATCTTATTTTTTGTAATATACTTATATCTATCTTTGCTAATACAATTCTATAGTTACTTCCTGTAATACATTCTGCTTCTATTATCTTGTATCTTATTATATGCTAACAAAGCTTCTTAGAGACCTATATATAATCTATTCTTATACTAACTAATTTGTTTGACTATATAAATTCTTTTTTATATAGATATACTACTCTAAATATATCTTTAAAGCTTGAGCTCTCTAGCTATCTAAGAAGAGGGAGAGATTGCTTTCTATTAGAAACTTCTTTATTTTGATCAAACTTATTCAATCTAATATTATTGAAGTCTTCTATAACTATAACCTTAATTTGATTTCTTTTGCATTCTCTTATTTTCCTAATTACTTGCTGTTAGATTCTTTTCTTTTCTTCTTTATTATTTAGTAGTATATATAAACTAATAACTAATAATTTATATTTTTTAAAAAAGATTAGTATATCAATATAGTAATTACTATATCTTGAAACTTGACCTATATGTTTGTTCTATACTTTATTAACTAATAAATCTACTCCTGAGCCTTTTAACATATTTTCATATACTTCAGTTCAAAAACTTATATAGTTGCTTCTTTTGTTGTATAGAAATTTGCTTTGTTGCTCTGAAATATTTATCTCATTAATTTCTAGTATATCTATATTGTTTACTAAAGCTCATTCTACTAGCAACTCTAACTTATGACTGTTCACTTTAAGACTATTAATATTGTATATAACAATATTTAATAAACTAAAGTCTGTTGTAGTTTGTTCTTTGATTAAATATTTTTTGTATTGTTATGCAAGTTTTCCTTCTTGCTTAGACAAGAATTTCTTTAATTCAATTGGTATGAAAATTAGAAGTAATTTGAGAATTTTGTCTCCAAATCTATAATTTTTCCTTCTAAATTTTGTATCAATTAAGCTATATGATCTAAAGATTTGTTATAATTTCTATGAAAGTTTTGTCTATTTCTTTCTCCTTTTTCATTACTTCTTATTTTTTTTTAAGAGCTACTTCTCTTTTCTATTTTAAACCTTTCTTCTTTACTATCACTTAAAGAAGTCTAGACTTTTCTATACCTGTTTTAATTTTTTTTATGTTTGTTTAAAGCTAAACTAATTAAGGCTTCTTGCAAGTAGCTTTCTTTTTTTTGTACTCTTTTTTGTACATATTTTGAGTATTCACCTTTTTGTTCTTGCATGAGCTCCTTTCTCTTCTCTAAGCTTTTTTCATTTCTTCTTATGACTACTTCACTTTTTTCATAGTCTTTAGATCATTGGTTTTTTAGTAATTTTACTTCTTGGTCTTTTGTGATTACCTATCTTAGTTTATTATTATAGTAGTATATTGAGAATTTAGAGATATTTATCATATCTTCTTGATTTTTTAATATACTATTGCATTACTCATATTATTGCTATTAGCATTCTTGAAAATATACAGTATCTTGGCTTCAAATTTTTTGACTTGTCTCTATAGTAGTACTTCATTTGTATTTTCTGATAGGTCTAGAAGTCTTTTGCTAAACCTGTTTCTTATATAAAATAATTCAAAATTGTTAGTATCTGCTATTATTTTTACTAATATCTGGTTTGCAAAAGGCAAATACCAAGTCTTATTTTTTTTCTTTTCATCAAAGGTGCTTGCTTTGAATTCAACTTCTGCTCGTATTCTATTTTGTATACTATTGATCATTTCTATATGTTTTATTCTTCTTAAGAACTGAACTATCTCAAAAACCTAAGTTCTTTTAGCTTAGTTTGATAAATTCTAAACTATTATCATATTTTCTTCTCTGTTTTCATTTGAGTTGTTAGAATCTTGCTAAATTCTGATATTTTTATTACTTGTATCTTCTTGTTGATCTAAGATGATTATAATCTTCTTTTTTCTTCTTATTAGCACTTCTTCTAGTTCTGCTTTTACCTGTTCTTCTTTTTCTTCCTTTATATCTGTAGTAGTAATCTCTATATCTTGGCTATCTAAAGATTGAGCAACCTTATCTTCTTTTAAATTTTTTTTATGAATTAGTTTGGCTTGCTTGTACTCTTCTTTCTTATTTTCTAATTTCTTTTTAGCTTCTTTATTGTCTTTCTCATAATCAAAGATTAAAATATATCACAAATTACTTTAGTCAAATTTTTTATATATTTTTTTGAGGTAAACATTTCTTCCTATTGACTAATTAATAACTTTTCTTTATAATTTATATTATTTCTAAGTACTTTTATAGCTGCTACTTTTGCTCTTATAATCTTTTTTCTTTCACACCTATCTTTACTTGGTGCTTAGATACTTTTTTCAAGAGAGGAGTCAAACTCTGCTAGTATCAGATCTTTTTCTAATTCTTTTGTAGTATCTATATAGAGGTTTAGATTTGATTTAATGATTTCTTTGTTTTGGATTTTTTTAACATTTTCTATTAGGTTATTATCTTCTTTACTTCTTTTTTTTACTAGAAGTTGTCTTTCTGGTAGAGCTTGTACTTCTTTTATATTCTTAACTATCTTTAAGGAATTTGTTTGATCTATTATTTCTATATCTGATTTGCTCTTAATCTCAAGTACTATTAGTTCATCTTTTCTTACTATTGTATTCTGAGTTACTTGTTTTAGTACTAATTTAACTCTATCAATTTCTTCTGTTATTGCTGCTCTTTCTATTACTTTTCTTCATTCTCTCACTACTGTTACTATATTACTATCTATTTCTAAAATCTCTGCAATCATTTTATCTATATGATCTTCTAGACTCATTACTACATTACTTCCTTCAGCTATTATTTCTTTGCCATATTTTTTTGTTACTATCCCTACTAGTTTTGTTACTTTTGTTCTATTCTACATACTCTCTAACTCTATTTTCTATTCTTTAAAGTGATTTTGTCTTTTTTTGTAATTCCTAGTGACTTTTCTAATTATCTATGAGCTATTTGGTTTTGATTTTGTGTATATTGTTTCTAATCTTTAGCATATGATATATAGATTTTCCTACATCATGTTTTGTTTAGCTTAGCTTGCACATGTTTGTTCTATATCAAGTGATTTGCATCTTAGAGTTTGTTTAATTCTCCAGAATTCTAAAAAAAATTTTTTGTCATCTGTTCTAAAGTCAAAACTTCTTTAATATTTTGAGTTTCTTCAGACTTTTCTTTTGTTTTTCTGTTTTGTTATATGTATTTTTCTTCTCTGCTTTCTTTTACTTAGTAGTTTTTCTGCTTGTTCTTAATAGAAATTATGTGTTTCTTCAGTTTTCTTTCTGCTCTAAAATTGGTTAGAGTGATTGATGGAAAGAGTTCACTTTTTGTTAATCTTTAATTTCTTTATTCTTTTAATATAATATATATATTTTTTAGTTTTCTTTTACTTTAACTGGTATTATTGTATTGGTTTTTAGTAATATTTTTAAGTTAAGTCTGTCTTTCTTTTAGTCTAAAAATAGTTTGAGTTGATTGATCTTTAGCAATATTTATTATAATTATTAATTATTAATTAATTATTAATAAAATAGCTATTAATTATTATACTGAATAGTATTATCTTAACTAGCTACATAAAAATTATTTTTACATAAAAATATAATATTTAGCAATTATTCATCTATACACTATAAGAAAATTGCTATTTCTTAGTAATAAATTGTTAATATTCTATATAAAGAATAATATTATTTAGTAATCATTCATCTATACACTATAGAAAATTACTACTACTCAGAAATAAATTGTTTATATTCTATATAACAGATAATAACAAAAATTAAAGTGTTTTCGGCTCATTCGGCTAATCATTTATTGTTATAAATTAAATTAAAAGCCGGGTAGTACCTTTAATAAAATTAAAAATACTTAAAATTGTAAAATCAGAAACGTTTGATCGAATATTGTCTAATATTCAATATATGTACAGTACTTCAAACGATAATTTGATTGTTGTATGAGAACCCTTTTTTATTTTGATATCATTAGTATATAAATTTATTGAAGTTATTATCATTTATACTTGCAAAATATTTAATTTCTGATCAAATATTAAAAAATATATATAATATCTAATATCTTTTTCATCCCACACTAAACAATAAACAATAATGAATCTTATTTGAAAATCTTTCACTATTAATATAAGTAATAAAAATTGACATATCTGATATATTTATAAATAAACTCATATCGACAATATAAATTCATCAACTTTATGGTATGTCGCAAATTTCATATTGAAGTGTCATTTCATTTTGGCGACTCACATAACTAGTTCCATGACTAATACTAATCATACGACTGTTATATACTGCATCTACGTGAATAGGAATGTCTGGTTTCCATTTCATAATATTATATATTATAGTTGCATTATCTGAGTTATCTAATTCACGTTTTAATTTAGGCTCCTGATCCAAAACATCTTCATCTTTATATTTATATTCATATTTTGTTCTATATTCATCAACTGTCAATTCCTCTAAATAACCTGACAATGTGAAAAATTTATATTTTTTAGTGTTATGATACCCCTGAACCCACCCACGCCCAAAAACCGACGACCTATACCCCCGATATCTATTAGTTGTGCATAATAATCGAATAGTCTCTAATATTATGTTAATAGTTGGTCGTTCTAAAGGATTTGAATTCCAACATTTTTTTAACAAGTCGTTATAAGTTTGAGGAGCAAAATGACATGTTATTGGCCGAAGACCATTACAAATATCTGTGATTAGCCCTACACTATGTGCTCTGTTTGAAAAAGCTGGAATTCCACAAATAAGCTCCCATAAAATAATGCCTAGACTATAAATATCTCCTGCTTGAGAATATGGAGACTGTAAACGAAGTATCTCTGGTGCAATATTTGGTATGACTCCATAAATTTTTTTTTCAAGCATTCGTGTTTCATTTATTGGTCGACATAATCCAAAGTCTGAAATAAATGCATCTTCTTCATTTAACAATAAAATATTTCCACAATGAAGGTCTCCATGTACCCAACCTTTCGAATGAATATTTTGAAGTTCTACACATATAGACTGTGCTATAGTTAATTTATTGTCTATTGTTAGTTTATCAAAATTCTTCTGCACGAACCGTCGAAGATCCCCTTGCGGTGCATAGCGCATCACGAACATATATTGCGATGTTTCAAGATCTCTAGTTATCCCATATAAATGACAACAATTAAATTGAGCTTGAATCTGAATTGAAAATAAATAAATAAAAAAATTTAATATGGACTGTAAACTCGTTGATAACATATTTAGAATCCCCACCTCTTTAAGAAAAAATTGAATATCATTTTTTTCGCCTTTTAATTGCTTTAGAGCAACAGTACAGGGATCAGATCGAGTATGATATACATTTCCATCTATTGTGGAAAAACATTTGATTCCTTTATCCCATTTTGCAGAGTATACATAACCGAACCCGCCTTTATTAACAAATTCGACCTCAGTGAAAGAGCTATACGGAATCCATTCAGGATATTTAAGATAAGTTGACGATCCTTGTGCTTCCTGGATAAATGCGTCAATTTGTTTGTTTCCACTAGTCCATTTAGAAAACTCATTTTCTAATAAATTAGGGAGGCATCTGTCGCATAAAGATGTGGGTTCTACAAGCATATATTCTAATGTTGAAGGATTTTTAGTAACCCCATATAAATTACAGCAATATTTATTTCGAAACTGTTTTTCTAAAAATGAAAACTGCTCCATATCTTTTAATGTTTTTAGAACAACTGCACAGGGATCTGATCGAAAATAATAGCTTTTATTATCAAGTTTTTCATGTTTCTTGGCTCCTTGGATCCATATTGCAGAAAATGCTGCACCAAATTCACCTCTTTTAACACATTCTATTCCTGTGAAAAAACTATACAAAATCCATTCAGGGTATCTAATATAGGATAATGACCGTTGTGCCTTTTGAATAAATTTATTAACTAGTAAATTTCCACTTGTCCAGTTAGTAAATTCTCTCTCTAATACTTCGTGAAGACAATCGTTACATATTAGTGGGGCTTCCACCTCACATTTTGTAAGATATTTACATTGCTCGCAATTTTTAATAAATTCTAATCTTTTTTCACATCTGCATACTGTGTTTGGACATTTTTTGGTTCTTTTTTTTAAAAGATCACGAACATGTTTCGTTTTATCATCTTTTATAGTAAATTTATTTATTTCTTCCATTTTAACATCTTTTATAATAAATTCTCCTGTTGATTCATTAACTTCCTCCATATTATCATCTTTTACTGTAAATTCTTCCATATCATCATCTTTTATAGTAAATTTATTGATCCCATCAATAGCATGTTCTATTTTCAAATTCTCATCAACAGGTTCAAAGACTTCATAATATAAAGGCTACGAAAGTTAAAATTTACTGTATGAAAATTTCATAAAAAATATAAATAAATAAATAAAAATAAAAAACGCCTACTTTTGATGAGTTTGGAGTGTTTTGATGAGTTTCCATTTTTAAAACAGAATCTAACTCGCACCTATAACTTAGAAAACAAAATTGCTTCACGGAAAGAAAAATGAAGTCACAATTCTCAAGGTTTTAAGGTTTAAATGCAAGTATGTGTTACTATGAATTTAGAACCATTCTCTTATCGTTACACTCTACCCTATTGTAGCAGATCAAGAATCGACACAAGTATAGTTAAGGTAACATCTCCAAAACCATGTGATGCTAATTGTCACGTGCTTCAATATACAAGGTCTAAAAATTTAATCAATTTGATTGGGTGTAGCCATGTGACAATTAGCATGATGTGGTTCATCGAAAACTTGTTTGAAAGCACAAGAAGGTTCTTCAGAACTTAGTACGTACAAAATAAAATTGCTTTGTTTGATTTTTTTTTCTAGTAGAAAACATATTTAGTTGATAGTTTTATTTTTTTTTCTAGTAGAAAACCTTTAAGTTGGTAGTTTTATTCCGAATTCGGTATTTCTGTACTATTTTCTGTACTATGTTTTCCTTCCGCGTGTTTGGTATTTTGTACATGTAAATTTTGTAACACGGATTTACTGGATTTTTTATATATTAAACGTGATTTTTACATACTTGAGTTTAAAAAACATTCAAAATATATTCAAACAACAGATATTTGGTAGCATTTACACTACTTCATTAATCAGAGTATGAATATATGGGCTAGGTGCTAGAGAAAGGGCCGAAAATGACAATTTTTTCAAATGTTTTTTTTTTACATCAATTTAGAATTAAATTAGGATCATTTTTCACTTAAGATGCAAAGGTAGTTGTATTAAAAAATTTTGCAGTATAGCTCTTTAAAGTTTGCATTTTCTTATGATTTATTATAAGATTTATAATATAAAAATTAATTTTCCAAAGATCTTTTTTTTTGTCATTTTGGCCTTTTCTCTAGTACCTAGCCTATATAGAACAAATCTAACAACACAATCTACAACACCAAGATACTAGTCAAACTTATAAAGTTATACAAACTCTACATTCAGACTTATCTTGTGAATAGTGTTTTCCTATAACAAACCTTTATCAATTATACTGAAGATTTTAGACCTAGTACTATCATATATACAAAGCTATCAAATATACTCAACAAACTGTTGCTACTCACATAACCCTAACTATAAACCCAACTTATAATCAAGCTAGAGCTATAGCATGAGATATTATTTTTAGTTGCTAATATAGCACATCTCTTGAAAACCTTAAACAAATTATTCAAACCCTTTTTGCTAAATATACTCAATACTCTTTTGCCCTTTATTTACTTACTTCTTTAGATATTACCTTTTTTGATTATTTTCTTGAACAATTAAATAATCTAGTTACAGATAATCTTTTCTTTACCCAAAGCCCTCAAACTGCTTTAGAAAATTTAAAATCCTCTATTATTAATTTAAACAACACCTCTTTTGAATTTAGTATCTAAGTACAAGATAGTTTAAGCCAAAGTTTAGGACTAGAAAATATAATTATAGAATCTCAACATACTACATATCTACTCTCTTACAACAAAAATACTACTTATATTAACTTTCCTTCATAAGATAGAAACAGAACTCTCTTATCTCCTTTTACTAACATACTTCTTCTATCTCCTATTAAAACCTCTAATATACAAATAGTACAAGAAACCTTTTATTATCATATCTTTAATCTTGCTGTTATAAGAATTGTTCAACAAGCTTAACTATTTACTAATTTTATTTCTAGAACTACTTTTTCTCCTAATTTAATAGATAATACTCTAAATCTACCTAAAAACTATCCTCAACCTAATTTTTCTTCTGAAAACTCTTCTTACTACACTCTTCCTTATACTCTACCTTCTTAACAATGACTTTCTCTTCTTCTTATTACTACTCTTCAAATTCTTCAAGAAGAAAATAAACTAGAAACTTTTGATCAAATTATTCCTTCTCAAGAAACTGCTAATAATTTAACCAATAAACTATCTAATAAGATCAATATTAGGATAATTACTATCTTAATGATAACAAAAATAACCAAAAAGATAAGATAGTTCAAATCTTAGACAATAATAATCTTGATAATAACTATAATAACCAAGAAGAATTAGGTCTCAATAATCTTTTTGAACTTAATAACAACTTAGAAGCAGAATGCTAAGAAGACTCTAATAATAAAACTATTTAAACTAATAAACTAGAAATAAATATGGGTAATTGAGCTATGCAAGATGCTATTGAGATTATAACTGCTTTAGCTAATACTCTTGGAGCTAGTGCTAAAAAATCTTTAGTCAAAATTGAATTTTTTCATAGTGACAGTACCTAAGACTTTATAACATAGTAAAAAGAATTTGAACAAGCTAGCAAAGCTAACTAGTAGAACTCTACTCACCAACTTGAATTAGCTTTTGCCTATTTGAAAAGCAATGCATAAGAATAGTTACAAAGTTTAGGCCATGCTTCAACATACTTCTACTATGACAAATATAAAAATGAAGTTATTGGTGAAAGAGTCTATAGTTTTACTCACATGTTTAGAGAAAGATTCTACACCTCTAAACAAAAAGTTATATAGCAAAAACAGCTTTTTGCTATACAACAAGAATTGGATACTGTTGATACTTATATTAATAAGTTTAAATAGTTAAAAGAATGAGTAGACTCAGATGAAGACTTCTCTAACTCATTCCTAATTCAACTCTTCATTCAAGGATTACAACCTGAATATGCTATTAATGTATAAGCATCTGAACCAGATATCCTTAACAATACTATTACTATTGCTTGCAGATGAGAAACAGAACAACTTATAGCCTCTTCAACTCACAACAATACTGACAAAGCAATTGAGAGTTTAACTGAACAAATTGCTAAGCTTAGTATTAACCTCATTGAGAAACAGAATAACTCTATCTCTAAACCAACCTATTACTCTAACAATGAATTTTCTTGAAACTGATCTAATGATAATAACAATAATAGATCCTTTCAGAATGCTACTTGCTACTATTGTTGTAATCAAAGATATTATGTAAAAGATTACCATATTAGAAAAAGTGATAACAATAGAGACTAATCCTATAGAGAATCTCACTATTCAGATAGTTACTTTCACAACAATGATAACTATTGTTCTAATGATAGAAGGTCTAGTAATAACAATAACTATTATTCATATGATTGTTTAGATCAAAAGAAAGAAACAGATCTCAAGATTATAACTACTACAATAACAATCGCTCTTTAAATTGTGAATAAAATAGATCTAGAAACTGATATTTAAGCTATAACAGAAATAATAGAAACAGAGATAACTCTAGAGATAGATCTAGAGATAGATCTAGGAATAGATCATGAGAAAGATCCTCAACTTTATACTCTCAAGATATTTATACTGTAAATGCTAAAAATGACTATAGCTATGAACAATTTGAATTATTCTTCTTCTAAGAATTATTGCAAATAGTTATAAATGAATATTTCTCTAAACCTCCTCAGAATATTAACCTTAATCAAACTGCTATTTATACTATACTAGTAAAGTACAATATTAGAATTAGAAACCAACTTTACTAAGCTATTATTGATAGTGGTACTTCTATTAGCATGATCTCTTATGAGATAGTTAAAAAGCTAGGATTAAAAATTAATACTTACTCTACTAGCCTAATTGTTTCTGCAACAAAACTTTCAGTTCGACTACTAGGAATTATCAAGGATTTCCCTATAGAAATTGAAGGTATTATAATTCTTTTAGATGTAGAAGTAATAGATTCTACCTCCTATAACCTCTTACTTAGAAATAACTAGTCTCAAAAAGTCAATACTACCTATAATTAGAAAAACAAAGCCTATACTCTCAAATAGAATAACAAGAAAGTTTATGTACCTACTACCTATAAACAGAACTAACCTCTCTCTTAACAGCTAACAGTAACTGAAGCTTATAAACTTGATCAGTTTGAAAAAGAATTTCTAACTCCTAAAGAAGCCTATATGAGTGAATACCAAATCACAGAACTAGAAAATATACAACTCTAGATTATACAAAGACTTTAATATAAATTTAGAATTCCTTTAGCAAGCTCGTCTAGAATTTGTAGTAGTTGTTAACAAACAGGATACCTATTTGCAAATTGCCCTAATAATCAATATAACAGATATTATCAATATAGATATATTGTTGTATACTGCTTATTCTCCTAAAAGAAACTTCTGCAAAACTTGTGATGAATCAGAACATCACTATATAGATTGCTCCTATAACAAATATTACAAATGTAATGAATTTGAACATATTGGTGCTTACTGTTCTCTTGCTTCTCTTAAAATAGATAATCAAAGATATAGATGTGAATACTTTCTAGCAGAAGTAGAAGACTAATACATAGTGTTATAAAATAAGTTTCATCTATTTTATTAGATTATTATTTTAGTATTTTTATTAGTATTTTATATAGTTAAATTCTTGAATATATTTTATTTAATATCAATTTCTTGATAAACTAAATAGTTAAAATTAGTTCTAAGTTAGACTATTAGATTCAGCTCGACGAGATCTTTCTAATAAGCTATAAATCATGTAAAACAGATATATAGTTATTGAGTTATCTTAGAAGCAACATTAGGACAAATTACCTTTTCTACCTTTTTCTACCTTTTTACTTTTTCTATTTTTTCTATCTTTTCTACCTTTCTACCTTTTCTACCTTTTCTACTTTTTCTACCTTTTTTACTTTTTCTACTTTTTTTACCTTTCTACCTTTTCTAAAAAGATATATAAACCCTTCCTTTTCTCTTTACTCCAACTTAGGTTTGACCTCTGCAATCTCCTTAATATTAGAATTCTTTTAGCATAGAAACTAATAGATAGTCTTATATTATTGATATTGTATTTTAAATAAAGTATAATCTTTGCTCTTTCATTAACTTTGTAATGAACTGCTACAGTCAAATAATATTCCACTTGGATACTGTTGAAAGCTTCTCTTCCATGTCTTATATTAC